TTAGACGCAAGGTCTTGACACTGGGAATTTCCAATAGATCTTGGTCCTCAGAACGGAGGGATCTCTGGGGTTGGTAGGGGGTGAGGCGGTCCCTCAGGTACATTGGCTCCAGACCATGCAAGGCCTTCAAGGTGAGTACCATCACTTTGAAAGTGATCCGGTGCTCAATTGGTAACCAATGCAGCTGTAGTAAGATTGGTGTTATGTGGCATCTCATCGGAATTCCCGCAAGAAGCCGAGCAGCTGCATTTTGTACCAACTTGAGCTTCCGGATCACCGACAGAGGAAGGCCAATGTAGAGGGGGTTACAGTAGTCCAGTCTTGAGATGACCGTGGCCTGGATCACCGTAGCTAGGTCGTCCCTGGACAGGGAGGGGGCCAGCCGTCTAGCCTGCCGCAGATGAAAGAAGGCGGTTCTGCTAACGGCGGAGACCTGGGCCTCCATCGTCAGCAGAGGGTCCAAAAGGACTCCCAGACTCTTTACCAATGACGGGCATAGTGCCTCACCATCCAGGGTAGGCAGCTGGATGTCCCCACTGCCCGGTTGACCCAGCCATAGGATCTCCGTCTTTGCTGGATTCACCCTCAACCTGCTGGCACGCAGCCATCCAGTAATGGCCTCGAGGCACTGATGGAAATAATCGGGTACAGAGTCCGGTCGGCCTTCCATCTTCAGCACAAGCTGAGTGTCATCAGCGTACTGATAACACTCAAGCCCAAAACCTCAAACCAGCTGAGCAAGTGGTCGCATATAGATGTTAAATAACTGTAAACTGTCAACTGTCTGTTATCTGTCAACTCAGCCCCTGGATGCTGAGCTACAACACATACAAACATAGGCAAATACTCACACAGAGTCACAAAGGAGAGAGAAAGGTGGATTCTTTCATCCGCCATATATAGCCACCTGCTATGGGCAGATATTCCTACACATGAGCTCATGTGAATATGAGGGATCAGGGTTTCCACATCACTGGAATGGAGGACCTACTTTGGGATTTAGTCTAGGCTTTCAAACAGCTGTATCCAAGATGGGGAATGCTATTCCCAAAATGGCTTCAACAGCTTCTCAAATATGGAATGGATTCGCTATTGTGCTGGGAGACTCGAACATATGTGCCAGGCGTTCTCTGCAAGCCTTAATCCCTGCTATCTTGCTGCGGTTTCTTTCTTTTTTACAAAAACATGCCCTTACACTCTCAGGCGGAAGGCTCCTTTAATTGAGAGTATGTCACCGCCGTGCCTTCTCTCGAACCCTCTAACCCTGTCATTTCACCTTCCGGAGAGCGACGCTACATTACAGGATTATCAACCCCGGGACGGTTATCGTAACAGTAATAATAGGCTCTCCTAGCTATGTGAGCAAATTTAATTAACTGCAAAGAGGAAATTCGCTCCTCTGCTCTGACTTGGCTGTCACCCAGAAATCTGCATTAATGCAGGGATGTTCAGTAATATGGGGGCAGCGAGCGCATGAGATGCGGCAAGGGCTGCAGAGCCCAAGTGGTGGGCAAGCAGGGAGCGATGATGTCCTTTCCCTATTATTGTATTCGAAGTGAACTTTCATATGACCATCTTAGTTAATTTGTCCATCATCTAGGGTAGTGTTTCTCAACCTGGGGGTCAGGACCCTTGGGGGGGGGGGGTTGTGAGCGGGTTTCAGAGGGGTCGCCAAAGACCATCAGAAAACATCTATTTTTGATGGTCTCTTCCTTTGGCAGAGAAGGCTGAAGATCTCTCTACCTGTCCTTCTCTTCCTTTTTGGAAACAGAAGGCAAATCCTCCACCCAAAAGCCCTCCTTCTGCTGTGATTTCCCTGCCCCTCAGCCAAGGGGAGGGCTGTTTCTGAGACTCCAAACTTGGAGGGGAGAGCAGGCATGCTGGGCGCATTGTTGGTGGTGTTCAGAATGCTCTTTGATTATAGGTGAACTATACATCCCAGCAACTACAACTCCAAAACTCAAGGGCAATGGCCACCAAACCCTTCCGGTATTTTCTGATAGTCATGGGAGTTCTGTGTGCCAAGTTTGTTTCAATTCCATCATTGGTGGGGTTCAGAATGCTCTTTGATTGTCGGTGAACTATAAATCCCCGCAACTACAACTCCAAAACTCAAGGTCAATGGCCACCAAACCCTTCTAGTATTTTCTGATAGTCATGGGAGTTCTGTGTGCCAATTTTGGTTCAATTCTACCGTTGGTGGTGTTCACAATGCTCTTTGATTGTAGGTGAACTATATATCCCAGCAACTACAACTCCAAAACTCAAGGTCAATGGCCACCAAACCCTTCCAGTATTTTCTGATAGTCATGGGAGTTCTGTGTGCCAAGTTTGGTTCAATTCTACCGTTGGTGGTGTTCACAATGCTCTTTGATTGTAGGTGAACTATAAATCCCAGCAACTACAGCTCCAAAACACCATTATGTTGTACTTTGTGTGCTTAGGCTGTTGTAATTTTGTTGTACTTTGGTCATATGGCGAGATGGAGTGATTCACTGGAGAAGGGGATAATGCTATATAAACCAAAAGAGAGAAGCGGACGGGCTTAGCACAGTGGGTTAAACTGCTAAACTGCATAAATCTTATTGATCAAAAGGTTGGCAGTTCAAGCCCGGGTCTGGGTGAGCTCCCGTTGTCAGCCCCAGCTTCTGCTCACCTAGCAGATTGAAAACAGTAATGTGAGTAGATAAATAGGTTCTGCTTTAAGCGGGGAGGTGATAAAAGGTGCCCATAAGGAAATGCCAGTATTTCGATTGGAAGGAAGTCTATGGACAACAAAGCGCTTTGGCCAGAGTTGAACACTGCCTCCAGATGCCAGAGATGGAAAAAGATGGGAAAGCCTTTATCTCTGTATTGTGTGTTGTCGATCCTTGGTAATTGTATAACGGCATTGAATGTTTGCCATACATGTGTTCTGTAATCTGCACAGAGATGGGGTGGAATATAAATAAACTGTATATTATTATTATTATTATTATTATTATTATTATTATTATTACTTGAAACACAACAAGATGAGTCCACAGCAGACACTCTGCTGGCTGTTGTATTGGATCACACGTCGGACACTTCCCAAGTGTCTAGGACTGTGTGATATATTGGCAAATAATGCATGCAAATCCCAGTAAGGTGGCCTTTTGCACCTGGCAGATCTTGTCAGCGCTGATTGTGTTTAAGTGCAGGCCAAGGTCTTTAGGCACTGCACCCAGTGTGCCAATCACCATTGGGAATAACAATAATAATAATAATAATAATAATAATAATAATAATAATAATAATATACAATTAGATACCAAAAGCAAAAAAGGCAACCTTCTCTGTACTGCGCCATAGGTATTTGCTCATATGGATCTCTTGTGGTTCTTCTAATACTTTTGATTTGCTTTCAGGTGCTGTTGTCAGGTCTGATTGGCGTTGTGTCATGGAAAAGGCCACTCTCCCTTGTGGTAAGTCAGATCTTCATTAAATTCAGTTCCTAGAGAGCTTAGCTATTGAAGAAAAGTACTGACTTACATAGTGATCCCTCATAGCCCGAGGATGATGGTCTTCCAAGCATAGTGTCTTGGTGGTGGGTTCATAGGTGGCTGTGGAGCATGTTCTCCCGCAGTAAGGATATTGGATTCTGGATGGAAGGTGGTCCCGGTTAAGATTGGCTTGGCACTCCCTCTTGGCACGTTTCTCCCTTTCAACCTCCATTCGTGCCTCTTCAAATTCTGTAGCACTGCTGGTCACAGCTGACTTCCAGTTAGAGTGCTCGAGGGCCAGGGCTTCCCAGTTCTTGGTGTCTGTGCCACAATTTTAAAGGTTGGCTTTAAGACCATCTTTCAATGTTTTTTTTCCTGTCCACCAACATTACGTTTCCCGTTCTTGAGTTGGGAATATAGTAACTGCTTTGGGAGACAGTAATCCATCCCTCCCAGAATTGAAGAACTGGAGAACTGAACACCAATGTGTAGACTTCACCATCTGCCATGAAACAATATCAAAGGAAGATAGAATAATAGAATCTGGGTTGTTGTAGGTTTTTCCGGGCTATGTGGCCATGTTCTAGAGGCATTTTCTCCTGACGTTTCGCGTGCATCTATGGCAAGCATCCTCAGAGGTAGTGAGGTCTGTTGGAAGTAGGAAAATGGGTTTATATATCTGTGGAATGACCAGGGTGGGACAAAGGACTTTTGTCTGCTGGAGCTCGGTGTGAATGTTTCAACTGACCACTTTGATTAGCATTTAATGGCTTGGAAGTGCCTGAGGGAATCTTTTGTTGAGAGGTGATTTGATGTGCCTGATTGTTTACTCTCTGTTGGTTTGCTGTTGTAATTTTTGAGTTTTTTAATACTGGTAGTTTTGACAGTGTGGTGAATGAATTAGAACCAGACATCCTGAGGAGTGAGGTTGAATGGGCCTTGAGAAGCATTGCTAACAACAAGGCAGCAGGAGACGACGGGATCCCAGCTGAACTGTTTAAAATCTTAAAAGATGATGCTGTCAAGGTGATGCATGCCATATGCCGGCAAATATGGAAAACACAAGAATGGCCATCAGACTGGAAAAAATCAACTTATATCCCCATACCAAAAAAGGGAAATGCGAAAGACTGCTCAATTCGCACAGTGGCCCTTATTTCTCATGCCAGTAAGGTAATGCTCAAGATCCTGCAAGGAAGACTCCAGCAATACATGGAGCGAGAGTTGCCAGATGTTCAAGCTGGGTTTAGAAAAGGCAGAGGAACAAGAGACCAGATTGCCAATATCCGCTGGAGAATGGAGAAAGGCAAGGAGTTTCAGAAAAACATCTATTTCTGCTTCATTGACTATTCTAAAGCCTTTGACTGTGTGGATCATAATAAATTGTGGCAAGTTCTTGGTGGGATGGGCATCCCAAGCCACCTTGTCTCTCTCCTGAGGAATCTGTACAAGGACCAAGTAGCAACAGTCAGAACTGACCACGGAACAACAGACTGGTTCAAGATTGGGAAAGGCGTACGGCAAGGCTGCATACTCTCACCCAACCTTTTTAACTTGTATGCAGAACACATCATGCGATGTGCGGGGCTTGATTAATGCAAAGCTGGGGTAAAAATTGCCAGAAGAAACATTAACAACCTCAGATATGCAGATGACACCACTCTGATGGCCGAAAGCGAGGAGGAGCTGAGGAGCCTTCTAATCAAGGTGAAAGAAGAAAGCGCAAAAGCCGGGTTGCAGCTAAACATAAAAAAAAAACCAAGATTATGGCAACAAGAATGATTGACAACTGGAAAATAGAGGGAGAAAATGTGGAGGCCGTGACAGACTTTGTATTTCTAGGGGCAAAGATGACTGCAGATGCAGACTGTGGCCAGGAAATCAGAAGACGCTTCCTTCTTGGGAGGAGAGCAATGTCCAGTCTCGATAAAATAGTAAAGAGTAGAGACATCAGACTGGCAACAAAGATCCACCTAGTCAAAGCCATGGCATTCCCTGTAGTCACCTACGGATGTGAGAGCTGGACCTTAGGGAAGGCTGAGCGAAGGAAGATCGATGCTTTTGAGCTGTGGTGTTGGAGGAAAGTTCTGAGAGTGCCTTGGACTGCGAGAAGATCCAACCAGTCCATCCTCCAGGAAATAAAGCCCGGCTGCTCACTGGAGGGAAGGATACTAGAGACAAAGTTGAAGTACTTTGGCCACATCATGAGGAGACAGCAAAGCCTAGGGAAGACAATGATGCTGGGGAAAGTGGAAGGCAAAAGGAAGAGGGGCCGACCAAGGGCAAGATGGATGGATGGCATCCTTGAAGTGACTGGACTGACCTTGAAGGAGCTGGGGGTGGTGACGGCCGACAGGGAGCTCTGGCGTGGGCTGGTCCATGAGGTCACGAAGAGTCGGGGACGACTGAACAAATGAACAACAGCCAGATTTTGTTCATTTTCATGGTTTCTTCCTTTCTGTTGAAATTGTCCACATGCTTGTGGATTTCAATGGCTTTTCTGTGTAGTCTGACATGGTGGTTGTGAGAGTGGTCCAGTATTTCTGTGTTCTCAAATAATATGCTGTGTCCAGGTTGCTAATCAAGGTGGTCAGTTGAAACATTCACACCTAGCTCCAGCAGACAAGAGCCCTTTGTCCCACCCTGGTCATTCCACAGATATATAAACCCTTTTTTCCTAGTTCCAACAGACCTCACTACCTCTGAGGATGCTTGCCATAGATGCAGGCGAAACGTCAGGAGAAGAACATGGTCATATAGCCCGGAAAAACCTACAACAACCCATCTTTAATGTATTTTTTAAACGTGTCCTTGTGATGCCAATTAGGAAGTAAATGCTTCTTGTTAAGCATGTTCGTTAAGCAACCAATGGAAAGATAAGGGTAAACTCTGGTCTTTTTCGCAATTAATTTGGCATACTTTTGCAGGTGCTTAATGCTTAATGCAACGGTAGCGTGAGGAATTTATATCCTGAAATTGCAATGCTAATTGAAATAGATGCTATTCGTTAATGAGCTAATAAGGAAGAAGGCTATTTGGAAAGCCAATCTTCTGAAACAGTGGAGGGTGGAAGGTGGCCCTTTTTAGTCCTTTCTAAAATCGATTGGGTCCTTTTCCCCCTTCTTTGCTAACTTCGATTCTCTTAAAAGATGTTGCCTCAAAATGAAAATAATATTTTATAACAGGCATGGGCAAACTTTGGCCTTCCAGGTGTTTTGGACTTCCACAATTCCTAACAGCTTCAGGTCCTTTCTTTTCCCCTCTCCCTACTTGAGACTGTTAGGAATTGTGGGAGTTGAAGTCCAAAATACCTTGAAGGGAATCTGAAGTTGGCCCATGCCTGCTTTAGGGTATTCTGGCCCCATTTGTGTGTATATGTGCCTTTAAATCAGTGTTTCTCAACCTGGGGGTCGGCACCCCTGGGAGGGGGTCATGAGGGGGTGTCAGAAGGGTCGCCAAAGACAATCAGAAAACACAGTATTTTCTGTTGGTCATGGGAATTCTGTGTACCAAGTTTGGCTCAATTCCATTGTTGCTGAAGTTCAGAATGCTCTTTGATTGTAGGTGAACTATACATCCCAGCAACTACAACTCCCAAATGTCAGGATCTTTCCCCCCCAAACGTCAACAGTGTTCATATTTGGGCATATTGAGTATTCGTGCCAACTTTGGTTCAGATCCATCATAGTTTGAGTCCACAGTGCTCTCTGGATATAGGTGAAATACAACTACCAAACTCAAGGTCAATGCCCACCAAACCCTTCCATTATTTTCTGTTGATCATGAGGGTTCTGTGTGGGAATTTTGGCACAATTCTATCGTTGGTGTGGTTCAGAATGCTCTTTGATTGTAGATAAACTATAAATCCCAGCAATCACAACTTCCCAAATGTCAAGGTCTATTTTCTCCAAACTCCACCAGTGTTCACATTTGTCCATATTGAGTATTCATGCCAAGTTTGGTCCAGATCCATCATTGTTTGAGTCCACAGTGCTCTCTGGATGTAGGTGAACTACAACTCCCAAACTCAAGGTCAATGCCCACCAAACCCTTCCAGTATTTTCTGTTGTTCATGAGAGTTCTGTGTGCCAAGTTTGGTTCAATTCCATCATTGGTGGAGTTCAGAATGCTCTTTGATTGTAGGTGAACTATAAATCCCAGCAACTACAACTCCCAAATGTCAAGGTCTATTTTCCCCAAACTCCACCAGTGTTCACATTTGGGCATATTGAGTTTTCGTGCCAAGTTTGGTCCAGATCCATCATTGTTTGAGTCCACAGTGCTCTCTGGATGTAGTGAACTACAACTCCAAACTCAAGGTCAATGCCCACCAAACCCTTCCATCATTTTCTGTTAATCATGGGAGTTCTTTGTGCTCAATTCCATCATTGGTGGGGTTCAGAATGCTCTTTGATTGTAGGTGAACTGTAAATCCCAGCAACGACAACTCCCAAATGACAAAATCAATCCCCCTCAACCCTAAGAATTATTAAATACCCTTTCAGTTTTTTCCATTGGTCATGGGAGTTTTGTGTGCCAAGTTTGGTTCAGTTCCATTGTTGGGTATTTGTGCCAAATTTGGTCCAGTGAATGATGTACATTCTGCATAACAGGTATTTACATTACAATTTATTTATCGTGTCAGTATCAACCAGACAATTGTATTACATTTTTAACAAACAGACAAAACAGAGTTTGCAAGCTTGGTAGTTGATTAAATGTCCTTTGACCAGTATCTGGCCACTTGGAGTGCCTCTGGTGTTGCCGCAAGAAGGTCCTCCATTGTGCATGTGGCAGGGCTCAGGTTGCATCGCAGCAAGTGGTCAGTGGTTTGCTCTTCTCCGCACTCGCATGTCAAGGATTCCACTTTGTAGCCCCATTTCTGAAGGTTGGCTCTGCATCTCGTGGCGCCAGAGCGCAGTCTGTTCAGCACCTTCCAAGTCGCCCAGTTTTCTGTGTGCCCAGGGGGGAGTCTCTCATTT